GAATAGGGTTGAGAACCTATAAAATCACAGTTTACGGCCGTTCGCTTATCCGCGACCTGGGGACGCGCTCGGTAGCATACAGCTCTGCTCTCCCGAGAACCGAAGACGGGGAAATCCATCGCCTTTTATTTAATCGTGAATCAGAATTTGCTGTTGTTTCGATTGATATTTGGGTCGCTTCTTCGATCGGCGTTCAGTACTCACTGAGTCGTCAGGCTGATGATTGTGCTGAGAGACGATCTGATAGTTTCGCTTCGAAGGCCGATTTGCAACTATTGCTGACATTGTATCTTCAATGGATCCTCGCCAGCGGTGACTGATGGCAATGTGATCAATTTGAGTTGAGCGCTGTTAAGCGGTTGGCGGTCTCCATGCAAAACGGCGTTTTTTGTGCGAGAAGTTCGTGCTTGACAAAAACAGTCTGTGGTCAGCACAAAGTTGGAGTAGGTGTTCTCCGTTGTCAGTCCTGTTTGCTGGGATTGCATGTGAACCTCCAAGTAGCCTCTCTGATTCGTCCAGGAATCCCACCTGAGCATTGAATTCTCCAGCGACCACCACGATGTCCGTGGACCGAGCACTTCGGAGCAGTAGAGAGTGGTCCTTGTAGAATTCATCCTTGACTTCTGGCGAACTGCTATCTGTCGGTGCATAGGCGGATACGACGAATAAGCATCGACGTTTCGTTCCGTAGCTGTTGACTCGTACTGAACCACCCAGACGTACGGCGCAACGTCGGCTGTTAACCGGGATCCAATCGAGAAGTGAACGCTCGGCCTTGACACAGTGCGATCCCAACACCAGCAACACCGCGAGCTTCGGATATCGAATCACCTGACACACGGAGAGTGAAGCATGAGTATGAAGTTGGATCTGTAGAAGGCAAGGAGACGATTGAAGTAGGGTCTTGTATGCGTGTTTCGGAGACACCATACATCTAAATGGAAGGTTTCAAGGGTTCTAGCTAAGGCGACTTGTTGACCAATCTGATAGAGTGTGCGGACATTAAATGCGGCTAAGTGGAAAGGAGGTTTGGTTTCAAAAATCTGATAGCCTCTTAATGGTTGGCCTCATTAGTTGAACACTGAGTGGTATCCGATGGGTGGCGCAAACAGGAGAAGAGGAAATGGACAGTTGAGAAAGACGGTTCTGCAAATGGGCACCTAAAACTTTTGGGCACGGCATACCTCGTGGTTGCCCACACCGACGAAGATTTTTTTCTTCGGGAACCCTAACCGGAGCCTTTGACTCAAAAGTCTACCCGCAAGGCAGTGGGGCGTAAATCCAACGCGGGAGCGTGAATAAAGCACCCGTTTGGGAGCTTCTAGAGACCTGTCACGCAAGGTCTTTGGGTTTCGGAATAGTTTTTTTTTCGCTGGTGCGTTGACTGTCGGTCCGCTTTTCGGGATCGGCCCTTAGCCTCATGCACTCAATGAGACAGGCGGAACGTGGACGTGACAGCACTTTATTGGTTGGGGGTTGCCCAGCTTGGGCGGACGGTAGTTATCCAACGAAGTGCGAAGACTTCTCCCACAGTCGATAGGAAGCCCAAGGTACCCCACTCCTACATCCATCTAACGGGGTTTTTTGACCCATTAACTGCCCCTCATCGTGTTTATTTGCCGGAGTGGCCTCTCCATGGGCGGGTGTGGATAGCAAAGGAAGCCAAGAGGTGCCCGAGAAGCTGGCCTTGTGAGACTGATCTTCATCTGGCCTCTACCCCTAGACCTTTCAGGCATCATTCGATCTGCGACTGAGGAGCCATCCTGTATAGCTCGCAGGGTCATTGAGGCGCGCAAGCCATCACACCACGCCAAGGTGCAGTTTCGTCGTGATGGCTGGACTGCTGCAGCATACGCTCAACCTTTCAAAGACAGCCGAATGTCGTGACGGCGCCACAGGTGTCTCAAGTTGGCAAATGTCAACCGGGCCTTCTGAATGCGTTGTATCACTTCATGCGTGATGCGTTCACCGGGTGAGATAAGGCTTTTCAAATAGCAAAAGAAGTTGCATTCTGCAATTAGAGGGAAGTTTTGGCTGGACCAACCCAGTCTTACGACAACACTGTACAGTTTGGAGATGTCAAACGCATACCGAGCATAGTTGAACTAGCACAAAATCTATGCAGAAAGTCTTGCAACTGGCCTGGATCCGCAGTTAGCAGTACGAGATCGTCTCTATACTCCAGATCAGACAGTCTGCCACCTGGGAGCAATTCCAAAAGAAGTCTTCATCGAACTTGATACTTTACCAATCCAATTAACCGGAATGCAGTATAGCTGCTATCATCAAGATTAGCTTTTTCTTATGCGGATATTTCAAGTGTTCTTGCTTCTAATGTCGCATCCATATGATGTCTATCCAATGCAGTTATCCGACTCTCTGTAAACAGAACATCTACCCGGGCTCTCACCGACGCTAGTTCTTCTATCTACTATCGAGAGCTGTCATAGGAAAACGTATGTGGAGGGTCGAAAACTCTGCGCGGTGTTATACTGTCTTACTCCTTATTGCACTCGGAGATTGTTTAATTCAACTTTTTTCAGCCCAAAGATTGTGCATATCAAGCACTAACTTGTCACACAAGCAACGACACCGCCTCACATGGAAACCGCCAACCCCTTCCAAGCAATAGACTCAAATCAACCACATCGCCTCCAGTTACCGCGGGCGAAGACCCATTAAAGACTGCCGCTTTCACCAGTCAAAATCCGTGGACACGAACCATGCTCTTTTACGAGCAAGATTCTCTCTGAT